ATTTCCCTTCACTGATAGGAAGTGTACAGTGCACGCTTGTCGTGTGGGCGGGGACAGCCCATCGTAAAGCTTTTGCTGATCTGCGCCCTGTTTTGCTTCCTCTTTGGTATCTTAGAAAGAAGAGTGCACCAAAGTTGCAGTAATAATGTTGACTGCCTCCGCCCATACGTCCAGCGTGTAGAGCAAAACTTGGGAGTAGAAACAGTAGCGAACCATTTCTGTGAAATTGCATAACATCAGAATCACATCGGCCTCTTCCTGCACTACCATGCACCAAAATTCCGCACATGTGTGAGGTAATGGGCCCTGCATGAAAAGGCTCAAATGATTGGGGAGAAGGAACTGAACCATTCAAATTTTACCTGCGTGCATACAAACTTTCTCGGATGGCTGGGAGTGGAGACATAGTTGGCGTGGATGTATGTGGTGTGCCCCAGGGTCAAGATTACCCGATTGTCGTCAAAACATCCAACGTCCTTAACAGTTTCATGTCGGTGATTGACTCACTTTCAATACAACTCACTATATGTAAACTAGACTTTGTCAATTTGAAAGTTGCTCATCTAAAACCTGGCGTAAGCCAAAGAACACTACACATGAAGTATGCCCCGCCCACAATGGGCGGGGCTTGGACCGTACTGAAAAAAAGACCAAAACCCGTAAAAAGAGAGGAAGAGCATAAGAGACCGGGATAAATAGTAAGTTCAGCAGCTGGTTAGCGGACTAAATGTAGAAGACGACGCCCAATACTGCCCAATTGGGCAAAGCGCACTGTAGAGTGGGAGGAGCAGGGCTTTTTTCAAAAACCCGCAGTTCGGCCTCATCAATGTGGAGACAAGACAAATGTGTAAAGAGGAGAAGAGGACGAACAAGGAAAATGTTCCGCAGTGGACGGAGTGTGCGACCAGATGGGGATTACGACTCGGAAGTTCATAGCTCGGCTGCGGCCTGAAACTTCTGAATACGCCATACGAAGGGTGGTGATAGTCGCGAGAGCAGTGTCTCGCCGTAACGGTGCAGTGACATAGCCATTCGCAGGTTCTCTTCGATCAAAGACAGCGCTTGCAATTTTCCTACTCGCCTCTCAAAAAAGCTCCACAAGAGCGCTACGACCTAGCGAAGATTACCGACTCCGAATTCGCGGTCTATATTTCGTAGCCGTAGCCATTGATTGGCTTTCTACGTTCGTTCTCTATGCACCGTATACCATGGTCAGCAGGGTTCTTATCCAGGGCGTTTCCCATAGCTTGCCTTGCTTTCTCACTCACTTATGATCCAGTTACTGCATGATCTAACGATTCTCATCTGTAACCTGCACACGGTCTGCACAGGACGATCATGGTCGAGTAATTTAGTTAGGGAATATCTGCTACTTTCTCACGTCATGTGGACCTCCTGGCAGATAACACTAATCAGGGCACGTCCTGCCGCCGGGGAAAATTTTTGAAAGGTACGGCCCTCTGTAATGTTGTCGTTTATTACCCCGCCCCCTCTTACCAACTACTGCCTTCAACTAGTCCCAATGCGGCAAATTTCTTTCAAAACGAGTA